AGAGAGAAATCAGCATCTCAGTTCAGTTCATTTCTGCTCTGTTTGGGGGAAATCTCTGTATTATTGAAGTGGGGGTCGCCTTCACTCAGCATGACTGAAGAGTTTTAGGACAGAGAGTTTTGGTACTGCACCATCTGATCTCGTAACATCTCCCCCCAAAAAGAAAGCACAACAGGCAGAAGACATGATTTTGTGCAATTTGCAAAGTAAATTGTGTGCTGCAGATTTTATAATTCACATTTGTGTGATTTTTTAAAATATTTTCTTCCTAAAAAGTAAAATCGTACAATTACAAATGCTGTAAGTGCACAAAACCACATCTGTTCACAACAGTTACAAAACTGACAGCAACTTCAAAAGAAGATTTTGTGCTGCTGCAGATGTTTGTAAATCTGACCCTAAATGTTCCTTCTTTAAAATTCTAATCCTTGTAATGAAGGGATATTTTTTACAGGCTGTTCTTGCTTATATGACCAAACATCAGAGTTAGGACAAATTGTGCTACATCATTAAGGACAGATTAATGTAAGGTCGTTCCCACTGTCAGCACACGCCTCTTCTCTTTTCCTAACTCCGTGTCAATTCCCCACCTTTCCTTGAAAAAGAAGTTAAAATAGCAGCTATGAGGTGCTTTTGGGACTTAACCTCCTATGTGCACGCTGGTCCTGCGTATGTCAAGTTATCTAAAATTTGAGGAGTCTTCAAAAAAAAAGGAAGAAAAAAAATAAAATCTCTGCGAATGAAAATCTTAATTTCTCCTTATAGTTCAGACACACAGCTGTTCAAAGTGTGAATCACTGTGTGATTATCACCCATCCACCAGGATAAACCAGCCTCCAGTTTAAATGTTTAAGGATTTTTTTTAAATCTGTGACTGTGCTTTCTTTGGGGATTATAAAAAAAACATGTCTAATATAGCAGGATAACACTTCTGAGTTTATTTGCATCAGTTTTATCTGTCTGCCAAATTGATGAGACCACAGTCACCTCTAACATGTGTGTTTTTTCTCCTTTCAGACTCCGTATTAAAGGTCCGGAACGTCCCAGGTGAGTTCCGTTTGTGGTGAGGCACGGTTAAAGATTGATCCATCAACGACTTTACTGTCTTTTGGTTGGAACCCTGCAAAGCATTTACTGATTATTTTTTTTATAAACAGTTCAGGGTAATAAAACCTTTTTAATTGTATTTGTAAATGTATATGTAAATATTTGCTGTGGGTTTTTGCTACATTATCTAATTAATTATTAGTTCAGTAACCAAAAATCTGTTATTGATCCGGGCACTGTGTTCGTTAGACGTAGCTGTTCAGTCCAGTAGAAACTACCTGATGAGATTTTGCTCAAACTGTATCACATCCCTCTCTGTGTAATTAATAATTTAAATGATGTGGAGAAATGTGGATTCATATGTATTTTTATTTTGGAGAGCTTTTGTTGATGATATTTTTTGTAACCTCCACAGTTATTACATTATTAAATGCCTGAAACTTCATTTTAAAATCTTTTATATAACTCTTAGACAAACTCTCGGACGTCCAAACGTTTTCTGTGTAAATATTTCTTTATGTTAGTCAAAAATATTGTTTAGAGTAAAAACTAAATTTGTCCTCAAACTTCAGAGCTGTGATGTTAGAAAAGTTAACACAGTACTCCGCTTTTTCTTCTCAAACACATTATAACCCACATCTTCACTTAGAGTAGCTGAACAGGAACAAATAACCAATTAACTGTGATTGTTCTTACATAATCTGTCTGTTATGTGTTCACAGGAGCAGCAGAGCTTAATGTTACAAGTCATCAAATAAATGGCGAGGTGCTGCTCCAGTGTGATGTTCAAAGTGGACTCCCCATGCCTACAGTGGAGTGGCGGGACAGTAACGATCAAATCATTCCTTCTGAGAAGTCACAGGTCTCTGAACAAGGTCGCTTCAACATCACCCTCAAAGCTACTGTGGAAAAAAGTGGCCGCTATCGCTGTGTCGCCACACAGGACAAAATCAACCATCAGGCACAAAAGGAAATCAATTTATATATTTATGGTGAGTGGCATTTTAATCATTAAACGATTCTTATTGCTTTTGAAAAACGTAAATAATATTCTCAGATTCAATGCAAAGAGTGACGTCTTCAAGGAAACAAAAGATTAAATAATGAACTCGTAAAAACGTCAAATATCTGGAAAATGTCAGACTCACTGACACTGAAGCAAAAAGCAACTTTAGTGTGAATTCAACTCATAAATGATTTTGTTTGTATATAAGACTTCTTACAGGTGTCATTAAGTCCAAACAACTCGACTGAACTGACATTTTTAGTCACAAAGTAGGCTCGCACTGCTTTATCATCCTTTTTTATTCTAATAGGACCATAATTTATATAATAAACAACATCTTGTTGTGTCTTGATGCTCAATCGTCCAGGCAAGTAAATCCCCAAGGCCAGGGGGCCCAGGCCCATCCTCACCGGGCGCGAGAGGGAGAGCGGTTCCTATTCTCTGTGTGATGCTGGGATCTTCCAGGTCTTTGAAGCAGCTTTTGATGTTTGCAGTCACAGCAGCATAGCAGTAAACTCAGACCTACTCTGGGTCAGGTTCATTCAGTGGAAACATGATAAAATAAGACTTTGACTCAACACCAACCAGGACTGCAGCAT